AGGAGCTTTAGAACAGGCGCTGCTTACTTGTACTTTGTACCCATTACGGCTGTGACCATGCCTGATCTAGCCGGCCTAAATGTCACGGACGGAACCTCTCCACGCGTGACGATTGGCGGCAACTAATCTGGAGAGCTCCACTTAGTCTCTTTTTCAGCGGCGGAGCCCGAAAATCGAAGGCCCAAGAACCGCTTCCATGTCTTGACGAACGGTGTCAAGCCAAGCCTTGAGTTGCCTCCAGGTGGTCTGTGGCACCGGATCGAGGGCAGCACAACAAAGCTCGTGAGACGGACGACGGAGAACGTGCCCAAACCACATTAGTCGTCTTTCTCGGGTGGTCTGAAATATCCTCGCGATACTGCCGCAGCGACTGCGGACTATCTCATTTGAGACGAAGTCGGTATACTTCACTCGAAGGACGGTCCTCGGCAGCGGTGGCCAAATAACTCCAGTCCTAGCCCATATTCAACGCGCAAAGCCCAGCATTCAGACCCATTGAGGAAGACTGACCGCACATATGGATCTTCGTGGCAATGCAGACGTCGTTTCCGATCCATAGGCGCTTTCGGAGGATTGAAAAAATGAGGCGCGCAGCGTCGATTCGGGAGATAATGTCTCCTTACTCTGTTCATTCGATAGCAGCCTCGCTCTAGAGTATTTAGAGCTGTCTAATTCTTCAAGTTGACGACCATTAACCATCAAGGGTGTCTTCTCCTGGTCAGTGATGCAGCTCGAGAATAATTTGGTCTTTCCGGTATTTATAGACAAGCCAATTGACGTAGTGATCTCATTGACCTGTGACACTACAGACCGTAGATCACCAAAGCTTGAGGCTGGCACCGGTCTAGTCGAGATCAGTCAGCCAGCGTCCGGGCGCAAACCCAAGACCGTCCTCTTCGTGTAGGGCCTTTCCGATAATTCAGTCAATGGCCTAGTTAAACGGAATTGGTGACAGGACACAGCGTTGTTGAACACCAAACCAGACATCGAACGGTTGAGAGACTGTTGTGGAAGGCGGGTTACTCGTCAGCCTAGCTGCTGACTACCTGGCACGTCCGCAGGTGGCGGATAGTGGAACGGCCTTCATCGAAGGTTAGCTGCGAAATAAGCAGGCTACAGTGCTACCAGGGCGCGAGCGGCTAGGGTCTGGCGCACCAACTGCCTTATAAAATGCTGCAAGTCCCAAGGACGGCACTGTGACGTTTCGACAGTGAACCGCCATTAAATTGGTTTGCTTGCTATCGTTGCCTTGTGGTTAGGTTCTAAAGCCAAAGTTCTATAGGAGACAACTTCGAACAAACAATCCGAGCGGCTGTTGGGTAACCGCCTCTAATCAAAATTCCCAAGATCCCTCATAAACATGTCTACTTACGATATAAATATGAAATTCATAGCGTCCGCGAGGACCGACGCGCTCCGCAACCTTTGTCCAATGATGTGGGCTATTAGTATACGAACAGAAATACTCAACCAGGAACGGACCATGGGTATTGGATGCGGGAGTGTGCGAACATTTCTGGAGCCTGGTACCCAAAGTCTGACAATGCAGATTCTTCATAAATACCACGTGAATATTTGCTGCCTGTCCAAAATCCAAATCCTCGAATCAGGCGCCCGAGAAATAAAAATTCCAGGAGTCGATTCCCACCTCACCCTGTATCACAGTGGCCCACGCGACTCATCTGGTAGATATGGGGGGCTATTGTCCTCTCGGAACAAGCAAACCGTGGACTACTAGCATGGGAACCAATCAATGACTGGATGGCTTACGTTCTACTTAAGAGTCACTTTGCGAACATCTCGGTTGACTCTGTGTATGCACCAACATCAGCTTCCGAACAGCAAGATAAAGAGACCTTTCACTTGCAGCTGCAGGACCTAGTTGAAAGACCTCCTCGTCGTGATCTGTTGTTTGTTGCCGGGGGCTGGAATGGCTGGACTGGGTCCGGTGACTCGTCAAATAGTCACCTTATCGGTCGTTTTTGGGCTTGGCTCTCGATTCGACAACGGTGAGAGGACGTTACATTTGGTTGATGAGAACCGACTGTTTATCACCAATACATGCTTTTAGCATCGTCATACATATTTGCTGACCTAGTATTCCAATGACGGCCATACCATCAGTCAGATCAATTACATTCTAAGCAGATGGGGAACCACAGCAGACGCGTCTCCGCCGCGTTCCCACCGGCCCTCACGGTGGCCAAGGTCTGCTACACCAATTTCCTTACGTTAGAGCTACTAACCAACCAAAAAATTCTAATTTGTTCAAGGTTCCGCAGT